GGGGGGGGGGGGGGGTCCAGCCAGGACACACAGGTGCGAGTCACTGAAAAGGATGAATACCTGCACTGGCCAGTTGTCCAAAAGCCTTCTTGCTGTACGGGAGTGTTTACACTGCAGGTTCACCACATGTGAGTCCATAAAACCTCCATGGCAACAGTTGGTGTTTATTTCAGTGGCACACACGCCTGATGGCACAGTTTACTGGATCAGAGACGCCATCAAACACAGCCTGTTAAATTTCAAATTGAGCCACAAAACTCACCAGCCCAAACAACAGTGTGTCTGCAGGACCATCATCAGACAATAAACCTGCTGGATTCTTTCTGGATGTTCAATTGTCTTCGTAAATCATCTGTGGATGTTGTAAAATGAAGTGTCTCATTTTAATACTGGACCTTTAACAACTAGGCATAAAAACAATTCTCCTCTTTAGTTTTATTAGCTGCCTGCCACTGAATAATTTCAAATATGGTCACCAGAACTGATAAGTTATAAATTACATTCAACTTTTATTAACTTGTACCGCTGCAGTTTTGGATTATGTTGCACCTTGTCGAGGGTCTAACTCAGTTAAACACAAATGCGCTCGGTGAGTTCACCAATCTTCCTGCAGGCATGACAATATGTTTCTGGGGACTTTTGATTTATTTCCCTACTGTTCTAAACGTTTGAACAGTCTGGTCGATTGGAAACACAAGGAACTCCTGCTAGCATTTAATGCTAATGCACCCAGCTGAAAACTATTGTGCAAAAAACCCCATGACGAAATACAGAAGAAAATGACGGTGGTATTCTTCAAAGGAATACACATCGCTCACTGCCTGCATGTTAACGTTTTAAAGGAAAATGATGTGCAAAGTTCACATTGAGTGTTGTGAATGACTCTCAGCTACCACCACACCGTATTTTAGTTAAACATCTGTAAGGCTGATTGAGTTACAGCCTTAGCTGTGGCACCGTGATGCACTGGAGACCTGTCCAGGGTGTCCCCCGCCTCATGCACATCTGGATATGGGCACCAGCACGACCCAAAAAAGAATAAGCGGTTAAAGATGATGGATGGATGAGTTGTGGCAACCATCTTGAATCATACTGACTCCAGAGTTATTTGGTTGTAGATATTATTAACTTTAAAGAGTAGAAGGGTGCAAGATTTAAAACAATCAAACTGGCAGGTGGACCAAAAGGGACAGGAGCAACCAGGATTCAAAGGGAGGGATCTGACATAAAAGACAAGATGACCAAGACGTAGATCAATCAATCAATTAATCAATCAGTCAATGTTTATTTAGAAATCCCTTTACAACAACCAAAAGGTTATCAAAGTGATTAAGAATACAAAAGTCAAAACGGACATTAAGAACAATATAAAAGTACAAAAATGTCATAAGCTAAGCCTGTCTGAATAAAAAGCATCTTAAGTTTAATTTTAAAAAAGTGCAAGTCATGAGGTAGTTGTTCCGGAGCCTGGGTGCAGAGATCAAAAAGGCCCGGTCCCCCCAACATAACAGTAAAGACGTATTAGCCGACCTTAAGGTCCTCTCAAACTCATGGAAATTTACTAGATCCGCTGAATAAGGTGGAGAAAACGCATTGAGCGCTTTTACGTAAACAACAAGAGCTTAAAACCAATTCAAACATGGACTGGAAGTCAGTGGAGAGAGAATAAAACTGGGAAGATGTGTTGGTTAAAAGTGTGGGCACAGCATTTTGAAGTTACTGATGGAGGACTGGGAGATTCCAACATCCAGAGCTTCGCAGCGGTCAAGCATTGAGCTGATAAAAAGCATGAACGGCCTTTTCCAGGACACGATGATTTTAAAAAGTTTTGACCTGGTTTAAAAGACATAACTGAAAAAATCTGGCCTCGACTACAGAGGCTGTGTGTTTATCAAATGTCAAATCCTTGCTGAGGACATGTTCTGGGGAGGGTCAAGTAAAAGAACAGGTGTGATGGTTACAAAGCAAAGGCAGGTGAGACTGAAGC